TGCCATGCCCGTTCAGATATCATGGGGAGTGTCTTGGCAATGACATCAGCCAATTCCCTCAGGACTCTGGGATGCATCTCATCACAGCTCATAGACTTGCGTATGTTCACATTCCTCAAGTGATCACAAACCTCATCTTCACTTACAGTGGGAGCGACCTCAGGACTCTGGGATGCATCTCATCACAGCTCATAGACTTGCGTATGTTCACATTCCTCAAGTGATCACAAACCTCATCTTCACTTACAGTGGGAGCGACTTTGCCCCTCTGGTCCCCATCCTGCAGTCCATCAACTGGGGAGGGATGAGGAAGAGAGGTTGCCAGTGAAGACTGAGGCAAAAAACTTGTTGAGTACCTCAGCCTTCTCCTTGTCTGTCAATACGAGGTTTCCAGTCTTGCTCATCGGGGAGGCCACACTTTCACCAACCTTTCTTTTGTGGCTGACATACCTCTAGAAGCCCTTCCTGTTATTCTTTGCATCCCTTGTCAAGTTCAGCTCCAGCTGCACCCTGGCCCTCCTGAGCTCAACCCTACAGTACCATGCAGCATGATAAAATTTGATCATTTTAGCAAACACCAGTTCTGCTGCTGTCCATTCATAGATGATCTGGGTTGGAAGGGACCTTATAGATCACCTTGTTTCAACCCCCCTGCCATGGGCAGGGACCCCTTCCACCAGACCAGGGTGCTTGCAGCCCCGTCCAACCTGGCCTTGAACCCTGCCAGGGAGGGGGCAGCCACGCTTCTCTGGGCAACCTGGGCCAGTGTTTCACCACCCTCACAGGGAAGAATTTCTTCCTTATATCTAATCTAAATCTCCCCTCTTTCTGTTTATACCCATTACCCCTTGTCCTATAACTCCAAGCCCTTGTGAAAAGTCCCTCTCCTTGCAATACAGCAATAAAAACAAACTGCAGAGAAGTCCGAAACAAAAAAAAAAAATTCACCTTGACCTTCTAAAGAGGGCAAAACTCATAAATGCTCAAAGCCACCGATGCGATTCAAACATTCTTTGTTTCCCCGTACCTCAAATCAACACAAGCAATTTAACAAGCTCATTATACAAACCCAGGAGGAAATGGCAACGTGAGTAAGAACACCATGTCCCACCGATGCCACACCAACCATTCTGGTCCTCCTAGCCTAATGACCTGGTTCCCTTTGGATGACAGAGGCACCTCCACATGGGGATGAATCCTTCAAACCACCCATAGCGCAGTTTTAGTGAACAGTAAAGATTTAACAAGCTAAAAATCTGTACCAACACAGGCAACAACTTCTGTCGGTGACACATCCCAGGCCAGATGCACCTGACTGGAGCGCTAGATGGTTTGTAACAGAGAACTACAGATGCCCTTCAACACTTTGGGAAGTACCCGTGGAACAGTAGCGTGGAGCACTGGCTCATGCACAGTTACGTCAAGCAGCAAGACTCCTAGACCAGGACAACGGCCCAGCAAAGCACTTGCAACGTAAGTGTGTGGAGAGGGAAGAAATGAAAGTAGAAGTGGGGAGAAACGTCAATTTGTTTTGGTTTTCCAGCTTTTGCTCAAACTTTGCTTAAAAAGCTTGAGTTCCTTTACTCTCATAATCTTTATATAAAGATGGAAAGTATCTTTATGCTAAAGCTGTGATTATACTCAAGTATTATGTAGCACTTCAAGACAGGAAGAGAAGCTGAAATAAACTATCAAGGTCCTTTAAACTGCATCAAATTGCAGGTGCTCTCAGATTTCAATCTTTCTGTCATGATCAGGCAGATCTCTGAAACGGCACAAACTGATTTTTATCCGGGATATTGTGGCCAGTACTTTATCTGTGAGATTGTTCCAGAGGTTGCTCCCTTCACCGAGAATTCTTCATTGAAGTCTTTACTCCCACTCCACCCAACTGTAACATTAGACTACACCAAACAACCACACACCTTACTCTCCAGTATCACTGCCCTCAGCTCACTGGGAAGCAGACAGTGAAGAGCTGAATGCCGAATCTGCTTGTTTTCACTCAGCAGAAGCTGGGAACTAAGTGCAGGTTTGAGCTGTCGGCACTTGACTGCTTCCTTGCAGGGCCAGACTCTGTTTCAGCCTTTCTGTGGAGCATCACTGACTGTATTAAACATGATGCAGGGTGCTACCGTGCTATCTGCTTCAACACAGATGGAAGATGGACCAAAGCCAATGTGCTACGGGGAGGCCTGACCTGACATTACTCCTCTGACAGCATTTGCTGAACCCAGCAATTCTGTGTTTTGACTGACTTCTCCCTCCCCTCTTGCACTGCAAGTACGACGAGGGGGCTCAGCACCACTGCTGTGGCTGACGCTGCTCCATTGCACTGCTAGGAAGAGTCAGGCTCATCCTGGCTTTAGCTGTTGCGGTGCTCCTTTCGGCTCTGAGCACTGAAGGCGCATCAAAACCTTCTGAAACTCATCCTTTCAAGCAAGGCAAGACCTTTAGATTGCTCTCCACTGTGCCTATCCCCCCCCAGAAAAAGCATTTCTTTAGAAATTCAGGTTGCACTGATCAAGTTATTCCAGTTATTCCACTGCAGCTTCCTTCAATTTTCATATTTTTTAAAAAAGGCCACCAATAGGACAGTGGGGAAAAAGCCCAGACACTAGGCATTTGAAGAAGCTATTTCTCTGTTTTACAACAGTAAAGAAAAATCCTCTTGATAGAAGTTTTAATATTCTAAAAGAGTATTTAGGGAACAAAATGATCCTGTTATTAGGGCTATTTCACTTTAAAGCAAGTTCTTTACTACTTGTCACGGATGAAAAACTTTTTTACATAGCAGGTAAATTTTAACTTTTGGGAACATTAATCTGATGTGTGACAACTTGTTAAGGAGCTAAAATTAAACTTACCAGGAAGTCCTTCTGTAATTTTCTAGACTGCAATATGCCAGTCATTGTAGATATGTAACATTTCACAGGCAAGTTCCATGTATGTTTATCGTGCTTTGTAGCCAAAATTAAGCAGCTAAAACTAAAAATCTGTACTGATGTTTTTCTATTTTCTCTAGCTCTTTGGTCTGCAATTCTATGGTGAAATCAGGTATTTTGCCATAGCTTCAAGTTAGTCAGTGGCCATTTTACATCAAAGCTTTAGAAATAACTTTGATGGCTAACTCTTGCTAGCTCACACATAGGCTTTGTAACGCCAGACTTTAACGCCTGCTATCTTCCCTCCCCACCTTTCCAGCTTAGACGCACTAAGCAGTGAAAACACAGGAAAGATGTTAAAGTTTACGTATTCAGTATTTTAGCATTCAGCTTTCCTCCTCTATTGCTTCACCTCTAAACAGAAAACAGCACGTGTTCATATTCCTTTTTTATGGTGTTCTTGAAGAAAAATGAAATTAAATGTTTCAAGTCTTCTTCTAAAGCATATTAAAAATTCTTTTTAACACTTCTTTTCCCCCTCAATAATTAAGGGACAACATCAGGGTTTAAAACTTGCAGGTACTCGAAATAAGGCAGCTGGGGTGACTTAAAGGAACTTGTCATTATTCTAAAACTACATTTTGTTAAATTTTCAATTTTGTAGCTAAACGAAGAGTTTTTATAGGTGATTTTTCAACTGCTTCAATGAGTGGCAAGAGACTTAATTGTTATTTTACTCACACGAAGTAGTCTGGTTGTTCACTTGTTGATGAAGGAGGATCTGTGGAGGCAGTGCAAGTTTCTTTAACTCCTACAGAAAAGCAGAATTTTGACACTTGCAATAAACAGATTTTTAATATAGCCAAACAACACCAACCTGATGGGCTTGAAAAAATCCTGTAGAGTTTTATTCTCACAGTAAATTACTTGGAATAAGCTCTACAAGTTAATAATAGGGCTCACATGACCTTCTCCACGGTACACAGTACTGGGGTTTAGAAAGAGATCAGAGCTACTTTATTCCACAGGTTCTGAGCTACCGCAGTATTAAGCTGAGGTCAGCTATTTTTATTTGAAGACATGATGTGGCATCTGCACAGCAATTCAAGTTATGCAGCAACAGATGTAGCTGCACAAAAGATGACAGCTTTATATACATAAATCCATATATATATATATATATGTGTGTGTGTGTATTAACATCCAGGTTCCAGCAAGAAATAGAGTAGAAAGCTGAAGTTCTTTTCATGTTATGTTTTTATCCCTCCTTCCCTGCCAATTATGAATATCCAAAGTTGGACTTAATTTCAGCGCTATTCTAAGCGGGAAAGGCAATAGCATTGTATATGGGTCACTTGCATCCAGGCATCAATAACCTGCATTAATGTGGCAATACTGGGTTTGAAAGTTATTCACACTTGTAAATTGCTCTTTTGCTCTTTTAAATGGCATTATGAAAGCACAGTACACTTAATCTCTAATCCCTCTTTTTAAAGTAATGTTTCAGGAGCCCCCCTATCTTTTTGACATATAAGAAAAATGGGCACCATAAGGAAGTTAGCTGAAACAGGATGGAACACTCCATATCTTGGTAACCTCTCTCTGCTTTTCATCTGAGGTTTTGTGGCAAGCTTAAAAAGCACACAGTCCTTTATACTCATTATTATCTTACCTTGCCACTCTTTAAACACAGTGTTTCTGCTAAAGCTCAGCCATTCTGGCAAATCTCTTAAGTTATCTGAGGCTTAAGACACCAGGAGAAAAAAGAGCTATCCTGCAATGTTCTACTTGATTCTAGTGCTTTAAATATTAAAATAATTATGTGGTATAGCAGGAGTATAAAAAGAAGTGTAAAAGTGGGAACAAAAATTGAGAGAAATGTAAACAGTAACAGTGATCGTATGTACAATGCAACTTCTGTGAACAGTTTTGCTGTGAACATTTCATTTTCAGAAATTCACGTGCATTCGTTGACTCAGCTCGCTCCATTTGAAAGCTTCAGTGTAAGCACCAACTGGAAACCTACTACAGACTTCTCCTTCCCTAGCTGTCTGCAGTTTTGTTACTGGATTCTGTAGGCAGATGCTCACAAGTTTATAAACTCAAGCAAGAATATTTTCAAAGCACTCCCAAGCCATGTGGGCACTGTGTAGTGTGCCCAGGGTAAATGTGAAAAGGCCAGCTCACAGCACCCTTATCTACCGCACAGCACCACTCCAAAGAGGCATCCTGCATACCCAGAAGGTGCCTGCCAGCCGTGACAGGAAAGGGCTAGACCTGGCTTCTAATTTGCGACAAACCTCTGAAATTAGGCAACACACCAATTCAACAAAGGAATTGAACTCTGTCCGTGTGTGCGTGTGAAGAAATCAAGTAGTATTTGTGCATTTCTGTTCAGCTTTTCAATGCCATTTTAAGCGTGTACTATTTCTACATCTTTTGAAATAGTAAATTCCACAGCTAAGACAGAGAGGAGCTCACTGCAGCATTCAGACCTAAACTCTAGCAAACTACGTGCCAATTTATGTAGGTTTTAGACTTTCCATGAAAAGGCAGAGTTCAATGAGCCTTGCATCGTGATACATGATGAAACACATTTATGCCTGATCTAGGTGTTTCACTAAACTAGTACGCAAGAAACTTATGTGACAGGTTTTTATCTTCAGCATGCACACCGTAAAACGTGGTGTTGGACATAGTGGAGTAAGTGTGAGTTACTGGAAATGAAGCAGAAAAACATCCTTTCCTTGCATTTTTCTAGCACCTAGTTCTTTCCTATAACCAGTTTCTGCCCTGCAGCAATTCATGTAAGATTTCCTTGTTCTAATGAGTTTTGTACTAGAGTCAGAAGACAAACCTAATTTTAGCTAAGGTTCCAGCAGAACAAGTCCAGCTTCTGATTTTTGGGGTTTTTTTGTTCAATTTTTTTGTGTTTTTTTTTTTAAACTAACAGTTACAATGTAATGCAATGGCAAGAAAAAAAAAAATGATTCTTCATGACCATACAGCAGGGATAATGGCAAGGCACTTCATGTACAGCAAGTGAAAAAACAGACCATTTGTGTTTCCAGTCCCTGTTTTTTTCACCAGAGTTACCCACACGGTAGTTATGAAAAGCAGTGCACTAATAGCTTCACCTGAATCCAAACGGGAGGATTGTTTCAGCTTGGCAGTTTCTTCTTTTCTAAGGTCTTTCTCCTCCTCACTCCCACTCGTTTTGTGCTGCATTTTGCTTTCACCCTTCTGCTTACACTCTGTTACCATCTTGGGCTTTTGGTGCAGCGCCGTGTGCTTCTTGCTTGCGAGCCTGGGAGGCTCCACCCGCTTCGCAGCAGGCGCTGCAATTCCCAGAGGAGTCTGAGAGGTATATTTTTGTTGCTGGTCCTCATGGATGCTACTGCTATTTTGACTGAAGCTGTCCACCGGCAGGTCCTGGGTCCCCCGCCCCTCAGGGGTGCTGGGGGAGTTGGTGCTGGTAGTGTGAGGAGGGTTGGAAGTGGGAAGGCGTGTGGGAGGCAGCAGCAGAGCCGACGGAGTAGCGGCAGATGCCAGGGCGGGAGGCGGCGGAGGGGCGGCAGTGGCTTTCTCGATGGAGGCAGGCAAGAGGCCAGTGAATGATGGCTGGACCTGACTGGTCAGGCGAGATATCCTCTGCTTTTTGCTCATCAGAGGATTGATAAAATCGGAATTCAAAAGCCGTTTCTGTAATAATAAAAAAAAATATTAAAAACATGATCAGAATTCAGTTGTGCTCCCATTCTGAAGAAGAAGCATTTCTGAACAGATGATTGCTGAAAACACATCTTTCTTATCTAAAAGCAGCTGTTAAACACAAAGTACCACAGCTAAATACACAGTTTATTTCATTCTTAGTTTCTAATCTTACGATTTAGCAAGTTGTTCTTCAAACCTACAGTGAAAAGGCTTCGAGAGAAAGGTGCTCTCTTCAGCAGCTCTACCAAAGGCTTCACCAAAATCAGGGGGTCAGGTCAGTATTGCTTAGGTAGCGATTTCAGGTCGGACACACTGGGTTAAGAGTCGGTTTTTGCTGTCGCACAGCCATGCAATTTACTAATGCGGCCCCAAGAAGCACGCAGCAGTGTGCTTATCAGAGTGCATGATGTGCAAAGCTGGTAAGAACAGGTAAAACCCCCAGTTTTGCTACAGTGGTCATTCCAGGTCGTTCACGTCCTCTTCTCTAGCAAGCATACACTGCTCATGCTGATGTACAATCGGTGGCTTGGACCAGGAGTGGCAGACACAGATCCGTGCAACCCTCTTGAAATAAATCCAGATTCTGCGTATATGGAGGCAGGTCCCTGGACCTGCACCACTTTAGACTCTGGAAGAAAGTCTGGGGAAAACACCTTTCACAGAATCACAGAATAGTAGGGGTTGGAAGGGACCTCTGTGGGTCCCCCAGTCCAACCCCCCTGCCCAAGCAGGGTCACCTACAGCAGGCTGCACAGGACCTTGTCCAGGCGGGTCTTGAATATCTCCAGAGAAGGAGACTCCACAGCCTCCCTGGGCAGCCTGGGCCAGGGCTCCGTCACCCTCAGAGGGAAGAAGTTCTTCCTCATGTTCAGACGGAACTTCCTGTGCCTCAGTTTGTGCCCATTGCCCCTTGTCCTGTCACTGGGCACCACTGAAAAGAGCTTGTCCCCATCCTCCTGACTCCCACCCTGCAGATATTTGTAAGCATTTCTAAGGTCCCCTCTCAGACTTCTCTTCTTCAGGCTGAACAAGCCCAGCTCCCTCAGCCTCTCCTCATAGGGCAGATGTTCCAGTCCCCTCATCATCCTTTCTCTATCTAAACATAAGTATCTCACCAGTGAAAAGCTTTCTGTACTTCCCACTTTATCGCTGTATGCTGCATGCACTGAAATGCAGTTTTAGTCACAGAAAGTATCAAACTTTTCCTTAAGGTAATGCCTTTTATGCAGAGTTTTCCAAGCTTCTTCTAAAAGGGTTTGCACTGTGCTCTTGTGTCGACAGGAAAACAAGACATACACATTTTAAGCCTGAAAAGGCAGATGTCCTACCTGCTGATTCAGATCTACCTGTCAACACCTGGGCTACTCTGAAGTAAATTTGGTGCTTAAATGATGCCCATAGGAAGGGAAAAAAAAAAAAATCCTCCAAGTGGACCACTACCATAATTTGTCCTTATTCTAGATTTTCCTAAACTTTATATTTAAAAAGTAGCCCAAGGATGTTTGTGCACATTTTATGTATTAGAACTACCAAATCACAAAGAACCTTGAACACATGCAACCATGTAACAAAAATATCTATGTATCTTGTATTTACAAAAGCTCCCTATGCACCAATACACAACAGTTTTAAGTATTTAACCAGAAATTACAGGGTTGTATAACAGTAAGGGGTAACCAAGAAGTTCAGCAGCTGAGTTTGAAGTTTACAGGCAAGTTTAGGCTTCTGCAAGGTCAACGTGCTTCGGATGGACTTGCAATAATAGAATCCTAGAATGGTTTGGGTTGGGAGGGACCTTAAAGATCATCTGGTTCCAGCCCCCCTGCCATGAGCAGGGACATCTACCACCAGCCCAGGGTGCTCAGAGCTCCATCCAACCTGGCCTTGAACCCTGCCAGGGAGGGGCCAGCCACAGCTTCTCTGGGCAGCCTGGGCCAGGGCCTCACCACCCTCACAGGGAAGAATTTCTTCCTTATATCTAATCTACATCCCCTCTCTTTCAGTGTGAAGCCGTCACCCCTTGTCCTGTTACTCCCTGCCCTTGCCAGAAGTCCCTCTCCAGCTCTCTTGCAGGCCCCTCCAGGCACTGGAAAGCTGCTCTAAGGATTTAGGGCAAGGTGTTGGCTGTTCAAACACAGCAACAGTGGTCTCTGTCAGATCTAGCTGTGTTTACAAAATACTGTGTAGACAGAAATTGTTTATTTTCCAGAATATTTTAATAGACATTCTGAAATAAAGAACACTAAATACAGCAGCCCTTAAGCTATATGACCATAAGCTTTTGCAGTTTTTGACAATCCAACAATCTTTAAAAAAATATAATAATCCAATTAGAAATAAATGCTTCGGTTTTTCACGTGTTAAAGAGAATATTAGTGCTTCACTTCACAGCTTCTACACCAATACAAAGTGTGATAAATCTTACTGCACTGTAAATAATACTAAAAAAAATACAAACTACCTGAGAAGAAGTTGATGGAGCATCCTTCCTAGAAGTCACAGGAGATGCCAAATGACTGGTGCTGGTGGCATTCTGAGATGAATTTAATTTTCTGTAAGGACGACCCAACATTTCAGGTTACAAGGCAAACATGCCTATGTCATAATTCTTTCATTATAGGGAAGACATAAATTTCCCAGAAAAAGTTTTTTAAATGGCTATTTTCCTTCCCCTAGGACTGAACTTACCTTGAAAGTATTAACTCCAATGACTGTTTTTCTACTTCATCGTATCCAGGCCAATCTTTCTGAATATCTTTAAATACATAATCCTTCAGAGTGTAAGAATTATTCTTTGGATTCAGGTTGGCTACCTACAGGCAGACATTTAAGAAAGTAAGTGTTCATTATACCTAAATGCAAACTACAGAAATAAGATTGGCACAGCAAAACTAAACGAAAGTTGAAAATGAAATCCCGCACCGGTTTTCCAGGTTTTTTAGATGTGAAAAAATCAAAGTAGCTCTCATGTAATGAGCACCAATTTGGAAAATTGTGGTCAATTTGGGATGCAGAAATTCGGATGTAGGAAAATGCCAAAATGTTGCAAGCAAGGATGAAATGTACTCAATGAAAACCTCTCTCTGCATCATTTATCTGGTTTCTTGTCTTTAACAGAGCATTGAGAATCAAGGCAAACTACACCAAAACTTTAAATCTTCACTGCATGAACTACACTGGGAGGCCCAGTTTTTTATTTGTATTTATTTTTCTAAGAACTGAAGAATACTGTCTCCACATAGAAACTCAGATCTGCTCAACTTCAGGAGGACACCTGCTGTTCTTTTGTTCTATAGAGTTACACCGCGATGGCAGAGCACAGAGTGTGCCTGGGACGATGCACGTTTTCCATCGTCACATTAACGACCACGGTATGTCATCATCATTTGTCTTGACAAACAGAACTGCTTTTCTTTCACAAGTGCCTGAGCCACACGAAACTATAGCGTTCTACCAAACAGTCACACATGATAACCTAACTAGCACTAAACTTCTTTCAGTACAAAAAAATATTAATCTATCCCGTTAGTTTTAAGCCATATCAAAGTTTCACAGATTGCGAAAAAAGTAATCGTGCTCATATCTAACAAATTGTATTTTGAAAACAAGACTTGGTGCTAAAATGTTTAAGGAGAAGTGTATAGGCCCAGCTGCACTCTTCGTTTTGCAGATATGGGGTTCACTACAGCAAACCATTGTCACTAGAGGGTTGTGCGCATGACTTGCTGTATACCTTTGAAAATAAAATGGGTTTATATCTTCCCTAAGAAAAACACAAGGTATATTCAAAAAGTTCAGATGAGCTAATACGACCTTGAGACCATTGACATTGAAAGTGCTGGTTTAAGCTTCATGACCTAATCCGATGTTCAGAGGTATTCTGTTTGTTCAGAGTTTCTGAGAAAACCTCAAACAAAAACAGTCTCTGCCAGTTTGCATGATACAGAATGCTGAATAACTCCTCTACACACCAATACCACTTTTTGCATCTTTGCCTCTTTTTCCTCCTAAACATGATAGATACATACTGCTAGTTCATGTGTGTGTGCATGCCTGTCTGTCCCCAGCTTAAAAACATCACAAGTAACAAAGACATGCAGAAACAGGAATTCAGTTGTTAGAAACCAAATTAAAGCTGTATTCCTGGAGAAGCAAATCTGTGCCTATTAGATCCTAGCAAGTTCAAGCTGCTGATTTCAGATTTGTATGAAACAACCTCATTATGAAGCTAAGAAAAATGTATGCAAGGCTGTTCAGGGTGTAGTGCTGCTAACATGACCATTGCTCAATGCAAACGAGTACCTTGAGGTACTTCACACCACACACAGGAATTGCAGAATGACAGAATAGTAGGGGTTGGCAGGGACCTCTGTGGGTCACCCAGTCCAACCCTCCTGCCGAAGCAGGGTCACCCAGAGCAGGCTGCACAGGAGTTTGTCCAGGCGGGTCTTGAATATCTCCAGAGGAGGAGACTCCACAACCTCCCTGGGCAGCCTGGGCCAGGGCTCCGTCACCCTCAGAGGGAAGAAGTTCTTCCTC